ATGGGATGCTGGGAATCGAACCCGGGTCGGCTGCGTGTAAGGCAAACGCCCTACCCGCTGTGCTATCTCTCCAGCCCCTCTTCTACATTTAAGCCTTTGTGATGTTGGAGAAATACAGTTCAATATGCGAACTTCCGGGAGGACCATATAGTATCTTCTCTAATATACCTGGTCTCTGTGGATTGGGTTGTGTTGGTTTTGGGGCCACATCCAGTGGTGCTCAGGGCTTACTCCAACTGTGCTCAGGGGTCATTTCCAGCAGAGCTCAGGGGACCCTGTGGGATGCCAGGGATCGAACTCGGGTCAGCCACCTACAGATAGGCAAGTACCCTATCTGCTGTGCTATCTCGCCAGCCCCAATCTACGTTTTCAATAAAATAAATAAATAAATAACCACTCTTGCCATAAGTCCACAAATGCATTACTGAAGAATGCAGGTGGCCTGTTCCCAGTGAAAAACTGCTTGCTATAAAACACAGTAAGAGTGAAGTCATTTCTCAAGGAGCAGTCAGAGCCAAGAAGTTAGCTCTGATGAGGTGGAAAGGTCCCTAACAGTCTTTGGGAGGCTTCCAACCTGAAATAACAGGCATCTCAAAAGGGCTTTTGGCTTGGAAGAGCACCAATCATTTCTCCCCCCTCTCCCTCAATTATATTGATTTCCAAGCATCTTTGGAAAGCAGAAATATTTTAATGCTTAAGGACTGGGACTAGCAGAAAATTTGCTTCTACTTTTACTGCTCAGAAATTCCAGCAAAATTGCTTTCTTTAATGGTCTTGAAATTCATTGTGATGATTTATACCCTAACCTTTGAGTCATTTAATTTCCAGTGATGGGAAAAGTGAGGTAAGGAAAAAAATAGAGTAATCGATCATCAAGTTAGTCGCCCTCAGCAAAACTGTTCCTCTGATGGCAAAAATTGCATAGCATTGACTTAATTTGCATCTCTTTCGTTACTAGTGAGGACAGGTATGCACCTCCACCCCTCTTAATGACCATAAATTATTCATTTGTAATCAACCTGTTCATTGGTAGAAATGACCTTTCGTAATCATATAGCAATTTCCCAGGTAAGTTAAACCAAGCTATGTTCTGGATCCTCTCTTTTTTCATTTGTACCTTAGTGATATTGCTCTGGAAAGCCCCTACCCATAGAACACAGCAAAACAAAAACAGTGGCCCAACAGATAGTACAGCGGGGAGGGCACTTACCTGGCATGCAGCCAATCTTGAGTTCAATCCCCAGTACCCCATATGATCCCCTGAGCACCACTAGGAGTGATGATCCCTCAGTTCAGAGCCAGGAATAAGTTCTGCGCTTGCCAGATTGGCCCACAAACAAACAAAACACAATCTTCATCTTAAATGTGAATCACTTTTCTAATGGATCTGCTATTTTAAGAAAAATATTTCTAAAAAGAAGAGTCTGGGAGACAACTCAGAGGTCTAGGGCCCATATTCGGCATAGACAGAGCCTTTGATTCAATCCCTGGAATAGCAGAGCCTCCCAGACCCCTCTAGGTTTACAACCCCAGTGCCCCAACATCCCTGCTGGGAAGATCTCTCCCTGGAAAAAAACAGAAATAGGGCCAGAAAGATAGCTCAGTGGGATGCACTCTCTTTGCATATAGAGGCCCGGGTTTGATTCCCAGCACCACATGGTCTACTGGGCATTGCAAAGCATGCTCAAAAACTAACCACCAAGAGAATAATCATAACAGTGTTTTAAAAGCAAGCTTTCTAAAAAATTCACAACCTTGAAACACAGATCCCTATGTTCAGCTTATTTATTATTAGTAAACTTAACTCCGAAAATTGCCTACATGTGTTTTCATGTTGAACCGCTGATTCTGTTTCACCTGATAAAATGTTTCCAGATTAAGTTCCTAAGGATATACCCCATTATACCCCATTATATTGAGTTAGAACTCCAAACTACTTCCTGAGAAGAGTTTAAGTCCTACCCAAATATTTATTCCCTTGGCTTCTTTCTAATGCCTTTCTAAGACTTTTCATCCTTGTAAAGTTGCCAATCCTTGGGTCCGGAGCAATACTACAGCTGGTGGGACTGCCTTGCATGCGGTCGACCTGGGTTTGATCCCCGGCATCCCATATGGTCCCCCAAACACTAAGGAGTAATTCCTTAGTGCAGAGCCAGGAGTAACCTCTGAGCATCACTGAGTATGACCACTCCCCCCGCCCAAAAAAAAGAAAAATATATATAAAGTTGCCAATTCCAATTTCAGCCCAGTGAACTATTAATATCTAAGGGTCTGCCTTTAAATACAAGCAAGGTACCTGGCTTTAACAATAACGTTGGATTCACAAAACTTGTCCAAAATGAGTCTAATAATAATTATGAAAGACTGACCTTAATTTCTGCTAAGATCTATCCCTAGCAAAAGCCAAACCATGGGGCTCGATGGCCGGGACAGAGAGTACAGCAGGTAGGGCAATTGCCCTGCACAAGGCCAAAGGAGGTTCGATCCCCAGCACCCAATATGGTCCCCCAGGCCCAGACAGGAATGATCCCTGAGTGCAGTACCAGGATTAAACCCTGAGCACCCTGGGTGTGGTCAAAAGATCAAACAAACAAACAAAAAAACCCTGCTTCTCAAGGAGGTACCTCAGCACCACCACCACTTACCAGAACCTCCGCTTTCAAGCCAAGAACCTTCTTTACCCACCGTAGAAACACCACCTTAGACCTTGGGCTAAACTGACCATCACCATGTAGCTCAAAAATCTTACATTAGTTGTAGCCTGAACCTAAGGATTAGCTGATGTCAAAGAACTGTCTCTGGGTGGAAACGTGGCTTGTGGCTCATGGCTCAGTGGTACAGTGTCGGCCTTGCAGGCTTGAGGCCAAAAATTTGATCCCCAGCACTACCCCATATGTTATGTGCAATTCTAGCAACGCTGTCATTGGTGGCTGTCATTGAGTAGGTGACATCTAGAACTTGCTTGACCACTTATTCCAAACCTGCTTTCAATTCCTTCACCTTAGAACACCTCAAAGCAAAGTCCTCCTTAAAATCAGGAGAGGGGCCTAGAGTGATGGTACAGCAGGTAGGGCATTTGGTACAGCAGGTAGGAGCGATACTACAGCTGATAGTATGTTTGCCATGCACGCGGTCTATCTGGGTTTGATCCCCAGCATCCCGGATGGTCCCCTGAGCACCGCCAGGAGTAATTCCTAAGGGCAGAGCCAGGAGTAACCCCTAAGCATCACTGCTGAATATGACCCAAAGAGTATTAATTAATTAATTAATTAAATAAAATTAGGATATGCAAAATTCCCAATTTGAGACAATGGTGGTGGAAAGATAATGGTGGTGGGATTGGTGTTGGAATATTGAATACTGTAACAAATCATCATGAACTTTGTAAACCAGTTTATATTGTTGGGATCGGGAGTTCCCTAGCCCTGGGAGGCACAGAGAGACCAGATAGACACAATTCCTGCAGGAGTAAAAACGGGGTTTATTTAGACCAGCATGCTGGGGCTCCACAGCACACCCCAGAGAGAGCAGTGGCTGAGAGCCCCGAACTTCTTCAAAGGGGATCTTATATAGGCCTTCACTGGCCGGTACAGCAAAGCCTGCGCATTTCATAGCCAATAGATTTGTAACAACATATACTTTCTTAACCAATCCATTTAAAAGTACCTCACTCCTTAGCCTATAGATTCAAAGATCAGCATTTACGTACATCGATTGTCAGCACAAGCAAGGTTATAGCTGGAATCATTAAGCCTTAGGTAATCTCCCTTGACCATCCTCGTTTTGAGTTACCCAAGTCTGCAGGGTGCTTTAGTGAGACAATACACTCCAGGAAAGGGCAATTTCCCCCAACCACCCGCATCCTGAGTTATCCTTTACCCAAATCTGCAGGGTGCTTTACTGAGACAATACATTTCAGGAACAGTAAATACACCTGAATCCTGTCACACTTGGTTTAGAAAGAAGTTATGCCCTGTTCACTTTCCAAGTCCCGTCTCCCCCAGGTGCAAAGCAGCCAAGCAGTTTTACAGAAAGCAATGTTGCAAGTTAGCTAAAGTACACAAAAATTTGATGCCCTAATATGGATTCTTTCAATATAAAGTGTAGGGGGAAATTTTACATATGTAGACCTTATCTATTTCATGTAAACTCCAAAATATATGAACACAGAATTTCAATGACAGCTAAGACATAATTATTACCATAATGAGATCCAAGTATTTAGGTTCCAGAATTGAAAACTTACTTATGTAAGCGAGAATTGGCATTTTATTATATTGTATTAAATGATTTTAATTTCCTTATTTACGTAGGTTAAAATCATATAATAATCTACGAACTATTATTATCTGAACATTCTACTTGTCATTCCTTAAAGTTTTGTTGGAAGAAGCAATATAAAGTAAATTTGTTCTATGCCTAAGGGGACAGGTTGAGATTAGGAGGAAAACTGGGGACACTGGTGATGCTGAAACACAAAATGCTTGAAACTGTATGATAAAGAAATTTGTAAATCACGGTGTTTTTTAAAAAATTATTATAATTTCGACGATCAACGGGAGGGCCTTTACCTTTACCTATTATAATTTCATTTTAATAAAAATATAAGATCTAGGAGGTAAGAGGCCTGAACACGTGAAACCGATTAAAGACTTCGCTGGACTTCCGGAAACGATCGCCTCCGCCCTGCCGGAATCCGAAGAGCCCGCTCTGAAGCGCAGGAAAACGAGTCGCACTTTTCATTGGCTGACTTTCCCGGAACTGAGCCCTGGCTTTGTTCTCATTGGTGGTTGGTGCTGTCACGTCCCCTGACCGCACTCACTTTCCCCGCGGCGCCCAGTGAGGAGTGAGAGAGAGTAATAATTTACAGTAGGCCCGGGGGCGAGAACGCTGGGGCGAATTTCCTCCGCCCACCGGGGGTCGGCCCCGCCCCCTCGTCCGCGGCCACGCCCCCAAGGGCCCGGCCACGCCCCTCACTCCGCGAGGGCGGAGGACCAGGCGCGGCTGCGGCTGCAGGAACATGCTGGAAGCCCACGGCCCCGCGGCCGGGAGGTGCTGAAGGGACAGTTCCCGGACGGCGGGCGGGGCGGCCTGATGGAGACCATCTGGATCTACCAGTTCCGCCTCATCGTGATTGGGGACTCCACGGTGGGCAAGTCGTGCCTCCTGCACCGCTTCACCCAGGGCCGCTTTCCCGGGCTGCGCGCCCCCGCCTGCGACCCCACAGTCGGCGTGGACTTCTTCTCCCGCCTGCTGGAGATCGAGCCGGGCAAGAGAATCAAGCTGCAGCTCTGGGACACCGCGGGGCAGGAGCGGTTCAGGTAGGGCTTCCTGCACGGGAGAGGTGGGGGGCTGCGCTGAGCTGCCCTGAGCTGCCCTGCCCGGCCCGGCCCGACACTCCCGTTGCAAACACTCCCCATGCAAAAAGTACAAACACTCCGGATCTCGCTTCCCCTTGCCCCTTCTCTTCCAAAGACTGCAGTTTCTAACTTCCCCGTCCTCCCTTCCCCGCCTGAGCCGGGATCACCCTCGCGGTCCCCCAGCTCCCCACTGGTCCCCCAGTTCCCTCTGCCCCGCTGGGATTTGGATGCCCAGCTCTTGAGCGCCCCCTGATGCCCTCTCTCCGAACCCTGCATCCCTCTGCGCACACCCACAGCTGTCCCTTCTCCTGCCCTGCACCCTCCCTCCTCCTCCTCCCTCTCCTCCTTCCCCACCCCCTCCTCCTCTCCCCGCTCCCTACCCTCTACGTCCTCCTCCCTCGCGAGTTTACCCGCCATTTCTGGCCAAACTGCTAAGTCCGGCTCTGGGATTCCTGGTTGATTCCGGGTTCCTTCAGCGAGTGATGCTCCGACCCACCTCACCGCATAAGCTCGGAGGCAGAGGGCAGGCGGTCAGGGTTGGAACACCTGGCGGCACTTCTCTAATCATCAGAAGCTCCAGGCCAGGTCCCTGGCTATGTGTCTTTCAGAGCAATCAGATGTGACACCAGGGACCGAGTCCCCAAGGCCGGCTTCTTTGGTCTGGGGTTGAGCTGTCTCTTGAAAGTTTGCAGGTGTTGCTTTAAGGAGAAAAGAGATGCTGAGATTTGTCAGGAATTTGCCCCTTCCTTAATCTGTCACGGATGTGACTGCTTCCCCAACATCCCAGACCAGAAGGTGCGGTTTCTAAGAGCAGAAAGGCTCCCACTGATATCTGTCCAAAGGTCCAGGGGTCAGCCACAGAGGTGGCTCAGAGAAATAAACCCAACTATGAAATATAAGCAGCCCCTAGGTGTTTGGGATGGAGCATTGTGATCTTCTGGGCCAAGGTTACTTAACTTTTTAGAGAACCTGGTAAGTTGAGTGTTTGAGAAATATTATTTTTTTATGGGGGGGCTTTGGGGGCCACACCCAGCAATGCTCAGGGCTTACTCCTAGCTCTGCGCTCAGAAATCACTCCTGGTGGTGTTGGGGTGGAGGGGGGACTCTATGGGGTGCCAGGGAGCAAGCCTGGGTCCTCCACATGGGAGGCAAGTGCCTGTCAGTCTGCCCCCTGTTATTTTTAAGGTTGCACTGCCAACTGGAACTCCTAGGCATTTTGCAGTTCTCAGCAGGCCACTGCTTGTGAAACAGATTGGGAGGGGACTTCCCAAACAACCTTCTCCATGCCCTCACCTCCCCCCACCATGCCCTTCTATTGTGCATGAGATCAGCCCACTCCAGGGAGCCCACTCCAACAGCTCCCGTTCCAGCTGTGACACTGACTCATAGCATTCCGGGACTTCCTTTGCTTCTGTGTGTGTAATGGAGAGATGGCAAGGCCGCCCTTTGGAGATGTGCAGAGGTCATTGATCGGAACCACCAGGACCTAGAATTCCACAAGGAGGGAATTGATTTGTTTTCAAGAAGTCTCCTTCCTTTGAAAGCCTTTTTCAAACTTCTGATTTCTTATCTGTCAGATAAAGGCATCCTTGTTATCTTTCTCAGATTCCTTACGTTTTTACCATGTTGATGTTGATAGCAAATTCCTGGACTTCTGATCTCATTCAGACATGAACTTTGAGATGTTTCATGGTCAGGAAAACATATTTACTGGCAGCAATTTGTTCTCCCCTCTAAATTAAATATAACTGGAGCTGAAAGAATAGTACAGGGAAGGGCTGCAGCGCTTGGCTGGCACATTGAGGGTCTTGACCATTGAGCCAGGAGTGACCCCAGGATACTACAGAGTGTGGTCCAGATCTCCTCCCCCCCAAAAAAAAAAAACATTTAAGTGAAGATAATAAAAACTTTTAAAATTTTTTTTGTTTTAGTTTTTGTTTGTTTGGTTTTGGTTTCTGGGCTACACCTGGAAGTATTTTGGGTTGTACCTGGTAGTAATCAGTTCTTACTGATTACTGGACTCAGGATTTACTCCTGAGTAAAGTTCAGGGCACCATATGAGATGCTGGACTCAGGGTCTGGACTCAGGATTTACTCCTGGCAAATTTCAGGGCACCCTATGGGATGCTGGGAATCCAACTCAGGTTGGCAGCATGCAAGGCAAGCACTCTACCCACTATGCTATCTCTCCAGCCCACATTTTCTTTATGTTTAAACTTCTAGCAACTGCGTTGATTTACGTCTACAAGATAGGTAGTAAAATCTTGCTTGTGTCCAATTCTTTCAAAAGATTTTTCCCTCAACTTCTGAACAAGAAAATGAGCATTGATTCATTGATTAGATTTTAAAGACTTTTTCTTTGTCCTAATTATACCAGCAAGATTTGTGGGAAACAGTATATTTGTCAGTTTGTTGATAATTAGAAATAAAAAGAAACCAACTTTAGACACTAACTTGAAAGCATTAACAAATGCTACAGAACAACAGAAGAGTGAGCTGATAGTTATTACCATATTGGGGGCTGGAGATGTAGTTGAGTGGGTAGGGCTCCTGCCTTGCACACAGCTGGTCCCTGGCATCCCATATGGTCCCCCAAGCACTTCCAGGAGTGGTTCCTGAGTACAAAGCCAAGAGTAATCACTGGGTATGGCCCCCAAAATCATATTTTAAAAATTTGGCTTTAATTTTCTCCCCCACACTCCAGCTTTACTGAAGTATAATTGATAGTATCAATTTTGCTTTGGAGCCACACCGAGCTATGCTCAGGGCTTACTCCTAGATTTGCACTTAGGACTCACTCCTGGCAGTGCTCAGGGAATCATACACGGTGCCCAGATTGAACCAAACTTAGCCATGTACAAGGCAAGAGCTTTTCACCCCCGTACTACTCTCTTTTGAGGGCTTTTAGTTCAAATTGTGTAAACTTTGGGGCATTTTGACAAGAGAAGGAAGTCTTCCTAAAGGAGTGCTTCTCAGAGCACTGGGTTCTGTGATCAAACACATCTAGAAAACCCAAGTATTTCACAGAGCACTCACTCAGAAATTCCTATCAAAACTCTAAGAAGCACTGCAGCAGAGAAACCTGCCGACTGTAATTGCTTAAACTAGCATTGCCCAAGTTTATTTAAGGGTTTTTTTGTTTGTTTGCTTGTTTGTTTGTGTAGGCACTGTGAGTAACAAAGTTGTTGACCCAGAGACTGGGGCATACAATGTTCCAGCTCTGGTCCTTCCTCCAGTGAATGATCCGAGGCCTTCCATCCCCAATCTGTCACATTTCCAAGTTTAATGCTGTCATTGCGTGTCTTGTTGGCCCTGAGAGATTAGATACATGCAGATGCCTCACCACAGCCGAGCCTGAGAACCAGGCCCTTGTCCCGTGTCACTCCCAGGCCTCCTCATCTTGCTTCCCCTTGAGAGACTTTTTCTTTTTAATGTAAAAAATTTATAACAGCTGACATTTTAAACAGGGAAGTTCCCTCAGTGAGCTGCAGTCTTGGGGTAAAACCATGATACCTTGGGGGCCATGTGTGACCCCCTCCCCCACCAACATAAAATAAATAAAAATGCCTGAGCTAAAAAGCAGTCTTTTTGTTTGTTTGGAGGCCACACCCAACACTGAGGCTCTGTACTCAGGGATCACTCCGGGCAGGCTCAGAAGAACTATATGCAGTGCTGGGGATTCAACCTGGGTTGGCCACATGCAAGGCAAATGCCTTACCTGCTGTAGTATCGCTCCTGCCCCAGCAGGCTTTTTTCCTGAGAGGCCTCATTTAATTCCTACACTCCTCGATGTGATTCCTGGCCTTCCAGAAAAAGAGATGATCTGATCCCAGATGGGCAGGTTCTTAATGCCTGGTACCCAAGATAACCCACAAAGGAGCACTGTCTCCTTGCAGCCTCCTGGAGCTCCCGGTCACTAGAATAAAGTAAGGTCAGGTTGTTTGTGTAGTGCAGTCAGCTGCTAGAATGCATTGACTAAAGTTATGTGATTATAACAGAAATCTAGCCACCAGCTTCGATGCTGGGGGACATTATAGAAGACCCAGACCTCGTGTCAGACAGAGTTCATGAGCAGGCAGGCGGTGAAGTCTGAGAAATCCAGTAACCAGAGTGTGGCTTTTTCCACGAGTGGATTTTTATCATCCAGCTCTGTTGGTTCCCTCCCTCCCTCCCTCTCTCTGGGCCTCTTACTCAAATTTTTTTCTCCTACAAAAGAATAATCTTCTAAGTGCCTCCCATATGCCTTCAATATCTTCCTTGAAGCATCAGTAACTCCTGTATCAGGGAAGTTGATTCTAAAACTTGCCACTGTGGGGGCCCCAGAGGTAGTTCAAGGGGTAGAGCAAGTGCCTAACATGCATGAGGCCCTGCATTCAGTCTCTGTAACTGCATGACCCCCTGAGCACTGTCAGGAGAGCCCCTGGCCATGGAGCCAAGAGTAGTTCCCAGGGACCACCCCGTGTGGACTAAGAACAAAACAAAATAGAAACATCTTCAGATCCATTTCCTTGGCCCTTCACCAAATGGAGCTGCCTAATTATAAGCACGCAGTTGGAAGGATGAGTCTATTGGATATGTCGTAAAACCGGATAATCCTTAGGCAAGACTTCCTCGTGGGGCAGTGACTCAGAGCTGGAGTGGAGCCCAGAGTTTGAAATCCTGAACACTTTGGTCAAGGGTGGCCCCCGAGCACTACAGAACATGGAGCCTCGAACCCTAACACTGGGGCAGGTATAGCACATAGGGTGTTTGCCAGGCCAACCTAGCTTCAATCCCTGGCTCCCCTTAGGGTCCCCAAGCACCCCCAGGAATTATTCCTGAGCACAGAGCCAGAAGTAACCTCTGAGCATCACCAGGTGTGGCCCCCTTAAAAAAAGCAGGGGAGGGGGGACCCAAAACTAACAAAAAGATGCCATCCATGAGAATGTGTGTCTGCCTTCCTGAAAGGCAGTGCAATTTCTGAGTTCTATCGTGGTTGACCCGGATTGCAGATCGGTCTCATGCAACAGTGCTCACATAAGACACTTCCAGTTGGACTTATAAATTCTAACTCAGTTGCACCAATGTGCCTGCATCTAGGGTGCCACTTGAAATCGGGCAGAGAGAGCACCTGGTCTCCTGACCCCCTTCCTGCTATCTCTTTCAGATCCATCACTCGCTCTTACTACCGCAACTCAGTGGGTGGATTTTTAGTCTTCGACATCACCAACCGACGCTCTTTCGAACACGTGAAGGACTGGCTGGAGGAAGCCCGAATGCACGTCCAGCCCTTCCGGATAGTGTTTCTGCTGGTGGGGCACAAATGTGACTTGGCTTCCCAGCGCCAGGTGACAAGGGAAGAAGCTGAGCAGCTGTCCGCAGACTGCGGGATGAAGTATATGGAGACCTCGGCCAAGGATGCCACCAATGTGGAGGAGTCCTTCACCGCCCTCACCAGGGACATCTACGAGCTTGTGAAAAGGGGAGAGATTTGTATCCAGGATGGCTGGGAAGGGGTTAAAAGTGGCTTTGTGCCAAATACTGTGCATTCTTCCGAGGAGGCTGTGAAGCCTCGAGCAGAGTGTCTCTGCTGACCGCTGCCCACTGCCTGCTGTCCTGGCCACCTTGCATAGGGTGCTGGGGTGCAGGGTGCCACCCCCAGGGCAGCGGGAAGCCTCAGAACAGGGATCTGTCCAGAGGGAGCAGGAGTCTGGTGGGAATCTGATCCAGGAAGCTCTGCTTTCTTTTAGGTAAACCAATGGGCTCTTTTGTCAAATTCTCAGCAGACAAATTCGCTGTGGAACGCTGTTATCTGCACCATTAGCCCCTGGTTCTTCTTGCTATATTCCTATCAGGTTTACCTTCAACCAAATAGGTCATTCTTAAGTATGTAGACCTGGAGTGAAAAGATTCTGCCAGGATTTATATTCTGTGATATAAATATATATTGACTATATGAATTTGTTCATTGCACATAATGAACTAACTGTAAGGTCAATTTAAAAATGTACCATTCATTTACAAAGTAAATCCATTCAGAGATATCAGTGAGAACTGTAATACTTGCTCCTTGGTCAAGGTACCAGGTTTTTAACTATCCTCAGAAATCTTTATTCCTCGCCCTCCATAATTTTGCTTGAATATGTGAAAATATGTTTTATACTCACTGTTCTCTGATTTCTTGTTCCTAAAAGTTTTATTTTGTAAAGATACCTAAGGATTCAAACAAAATATTTTATTGAAAACGTTTATAAAAATTAAAAGGACTAACATCAGAAAATAAGTGTCCTTTTTTATTTATTAGTTAATTAATCTTTGGACTTTGAGCCACATACCTGGTGATCTCAGGGTTTACTCCTTGCTCTGTACTCAGGGATCACTCCTGGCAGTGCTCAGAGTACCATATGGGATGCCAAGGATCAAACCTTGGTCGGTTGCATGCAAGGCAGGTGCCCTACCCACTGTACTTTCATTCCAGCCCCAAGTGTCCTTATTTAGACAAGAAGAATTCATTTATACACTGGCATCTTCAAAGAAACTAATTGTGGGACAAGAGAAATAAGACAAAAGTTAGGTGCTTGTAAGCAACCGGTCTTGGTTCAATTCCTGGTGCTGGCTATAGTCACTGAGCACCATCAGGACTGAGCACAGAGCCAGGAGTATGCCCTGAGCACCATTGGATGTAGTCTAAAAAAAAAAAAAGGAAAAAGTGAAGTAATTATAGTGCACTTAGAACTATTGTCAAAACAATCAATATTGGCAGATATAGACTTATTTTAGTAATAATTTTGGCAGGTAAATTTTCATTTTTCCCATTTCCAATAGAAAAAGGAGGCTTTTCCTGAGTCAGAAAAATAGACTAGGAAAGTTGATATATTTAGCACTCAAACTGAATTTTATAATCTTATTAGTAAAATTACAGATTTGGATGAAGAGTTAAAGGTATAGATGCTTTCACACTTCTGAAATTTTAATGTATTGATTACATTCTCCTCCTGGAAGGGGTGACCCAGCAACCTGGGAGTGCTTGGGAGACCATAAGGGATGCCAGGGATTGAATCTAGGTTGGTCGCGTGCAGGGCAAACGCCCTACCCTCCATACTGTCTCTCTGGCCCCGGCATTTTTTTTTTCAAATGTCCAAAGTTAATTTTATCTTTGTCAGATATTTTAAATGTTTATTTCTGGTCCGTATACCATTCCTAATGATAAAAAGGACACCAAATGAAGGTGCTTGTTTTTGAAATCATGGGTTTTCTTTTTTATTGTTAAACTATAGTTGCTTTATTTATGTGAATATCAAAGTGGTAGAATAGAAAGAATATTGCATGAGAAATCAGATAACAAATCTGGGTTCTAAGCTTGCCTTTTCTGTACCACTATTTTTTACCACTATTTTGTTTTGTCTTGTTTGTTTGGGAACCACACCTGGCAATGTTCTGGGGTTACTCCTGCCTCTCCACTCAAGAATCACTCCTGGCAGTTTCAGGGAACATATGGGATACCAGGGATCGAGCTTGGGCTAGCTGCATGCAAGGCAAATGCCCGACCTGTTGTTCTGTCACACCACCATCCCCCCCCCCAATTCTTGAGTCACCTCAGCAGATTCTTGAATCCAGTGTCTAAGCTCTCCAGTGTTAGTTTTCTCATCTGTAAAGTTGTCTTTCAGTAAGAATGAATATTTTAATAGATTTGCTCGATTTGCTTGAGTGGGCCCAGTAAGGTCTCCATTGGAGACTTTGTTGTTACTGTGTCTGGCATATCGAATACTCTCGGTAGCTTGCCAGGCTCTCCGAGAGGGGCGGAGGAATCGAACTCGGGTCGGCCATGTTGGCCGCTTGTAAGGCGAACGCCCTACCGCTGCGCTATCGCTCCAGCCCATTTTATAAATTTATAAATTTTATAAAACAGCCCTACAACTTGAGAAAGTGTTATTCAAATACGAGTTTGGTCATAGCTGCTATGGAGATACTAGTGTATTGGCAATAGGTAAAAGTTTCCTCGCGTTCTTTCCCTTCACGTCTCCACACAGGAAACAGAAGAAGCATGTTTTCATAGATCTGGAATAATTCTTGGTTTATCTGTCCCCTCTTCTTCCCCCAAAATATCAGCACCCCCCACATGAAGAGGACATGGAGGAGCTTCCCAGGGAATTCAACCAAATGTCATGTCTGAGTGATTTTCATGCATCTTTAGTACTTAAATTGTACTTCTATTTATTTATTTATTTATTTATTTATTTATTGCTTTTGGGTCACACCCAGCGATGCTCAGAGGTTACTCCTGGCTCTGCGCTCAGGAATTACCCCTGGCGGTGCTCAGGGGACCATATGGGATGCTGGGAATCGAACCCGGGTTGGCCGCATGCAAGGCAAAATGCCCTACCCGCTATGCTATTGCTCCAGCCCCTTAATTGTATTTCTAAATACTTCTAATTCTTGAATATTTTATAGGCCCTTATGCTTTAATCATGCTATGGAGAGTTTATTATAGCATCAATATAAAATGTTGGAGTCCTTAAATTGACAACATTTTCCTGATAGCTTTAATTTTCCACTTGAATGAGTTCAAGCAATAATTGACCAGATAAGAAAATATCTGTCCACCAAAATGTGAGTAGGCTGTTTTGGCTATTCAAAATTTTAAGTTTTATGTTATAATTTTTCAATAGTCCAAAATGTTACAAACCCAAACACAATAAAAAAAAATGTGAGCTACATCCCACAGGATGCTCCTAATAAGATTGGGGGAGAGTTTAGAGCTGAGCTCCTGGCTCTGAGATGGTCCTTAGTTAGGACAGAATTCAGGAGTAAGAAGAACGAATGAGAAGGCCGGGTTACCCCCACAACATGGGTATTCACCAAGACCACAGCAGCAGAAATGATCCTGGAACTCTGAGTGTGTCTTATGCTTCCTAGACATGGATGTGAACGGAAAGAAAAAGTGTGATGTAACTAAAGCCACAAAATTCTAAAAATTAACTGAATCATTTTTGGGTTTTGTTTTGTTTTTGGGCCACGCCTGGCAGTGCCCAGGGCATATTTCTGGCTCAGTGCTTAGGGATCATTCCTGGAGGACTTGGGAACTATGTAAGGTGCTGGGGATTGAGCCTGGATCAGCCATGCGCAAGGCCAGCACTCTACCTACTGTACTATTTCTTCAGGCCCCTTACTCATTTCAACCTTATAAGAGGAGTTATTTGCGTTAAAAACAGTATTAAAATAAACAATGGTTGCAAAGATCTGAGTTTTTGTAAGAGACTTTTCAACATTGAATAACCTTATCCATACGTCTTTATCCAGATCTGTATCTTTATCTATGCATATATAATGACTGACCTGTTTACTTAGATATCTGTGAGAGACTGTGGAAAATAATACCAAAATATTTGTTCCAAGCAAATCAGGTGATTAGGTTTCTTTTTTTTTTTTAATTTATTTATTTATTTATTGAATCACCATGGGAAAGGTTACAAAGCTTTCAGGTTTAGGTCTCAGTCATGCAAATATCAAGCACATTTCCCTTTACCAAAACTTATTTTTTCCATGAAGAACCCCAATAAAACCCCACCCCCCACCCCTCCCAGTCCCTGTGGGGCAGATGAATTCTAGTTAACACTCTATCTGCTTTGATTAGATTCACTGTTTCAGTAAAAGATTCACCACTATTATTTAGAGTTTACCCCCCCCCCCCCGGATCAGACATGCTGACAAAGCATTGTGAAGTGATTTGCTTTCTACAGCTGGGTTCAAGAATTATATGTTGGTTTTGGATTTCTGCTATTTTACTTATTGACCCTGGAAGTATTTCTACTGAAAGTCAGATAGTTAAGAAATTGGTTTCTGTGCTCTGGAGTCGTGGCCGTGCTGGAGAGCCGCTAGTGGGGGACAACTGGTGGCCTCGGTAGGGCGTGAAGGGCGGACCGAAACGCCCCCCTTCCCATGAGGTTTTAGTCGCCCCCAGTCCCCCGGCTCATACCTGCTGTCCACAAGGCTCCCATGCGGCCGCCATCTTTCTTTCCAGAGGGGAGAAGGCGACTGGGGCAACACCCTTTCCCCTCCGGACAGACCTGATGGCCTGGATTAACGCATAGTCCTTTCACTTTTCTGCTCCAAGCTGCCGGGTTCTGCATTAAGTCCTTGTGCTTCTGGGGCCGTGGCCATGCTGGAGAGCCGCTCGCGGGGGGGCAACTGGTGACCTCGGTAGGGTGTGAAGGACGGACCGGAACACCCCCCTTCCCATGAGGTTTTAGTCGCCCCCACATCCCCGGCTCATACCTGCTGTCCACAAGGCTCCCATGCGGCCGCCATCTTTCTTTCCAGAGAGGAGAAGGCGACTGGGGCAACACCCTTTCCCCTCCGGACAGACCTGATGGCCTGGATTAACGCATAGTCCTTTCACTTTTCTGCTCCAAGCTGCCGGGTTCTGCATTAAGTCCTTGTGCTTCTGGGGCCGTGGCCATGCTGGAGAGCCGCTCGCGGGGGGGCAACTGGTGACCTCGGTAGGGTGTGAAGGACGGACCGGAACACCCCCCTTCCCATGAGGTTTTAGTCGCCCCCACATCCCCGGCTCATACCTGCTGTCCACAAGGCTCCCATGCGGCCGCCATCTTTCTTTCCAGAGAGGAGAAGGCGACTGGGGCAACACCCTTTCCCCTCCGGACAGACCTGATGGCCTGGATTAACGCATAGTCCTTTCACTTTTCTGCTCCAAGCTGCCGGGTTCTGCATTAAGTCCTTGTGCTTCTGGGGCCGTGGCCATGCTGGAGAGCCGCTCGCGGGGGGGCAACTGGTGACCTCGGTAGGGTGTGAAGGACGGACCGGAACACCCCCCTTCCCATGAGGTTTTAGTCGCCCCCACACCCCCGGCTCATACCTGCTGTCCACAAGGCTCCCATGCGGCCGCCATCTTTCTTTCCAGAGGGAGGAGGGTGGAAGGGACCAACACCCTTTCCCCTCCGGGCAGACATGATGGCCTGGATTAACGCATAGTCCTTTCACTTTTCTGCTCCAAGCTGCTGGGTTCTGCATTAAGTCCTTGTGCTTCTGGAGCTGTGGCCGTGCTGGAGAGCCGCTCGTGGGGGGCAACTGGTGAACTCGTTAGGGCGTGAAGGATGGACTGGAACGCCCCCCTTCCCATGAGGTTTTAGTCGCCCCCACTCCT